AAAAAAAAAAAAAAAAAAAAAAAAAAAAAAAAAAAAAAAAAAGGGCCTACTCTTCCTGTTGGACATGTGCTGATCAAGACTGACCCAGATTAGTTGCTCATCTTGATGGTTGAATTTCCCATTATTTGGCTGCTTACCATAACCTGCCTTTTGACTTGAAACTTTAAGCACGTTGAGGGCTGAAGAACTTTCTGTAGATAAGAATCCATGGCATGAAAATCCCAGAATCTGCAAAGACTTGAAAACGAACCTTGTTCTGAGAGAATACCATGAACAAATCTCCAGAAAACTACACTGATCTCTAACCACATTCAATCTACCAATAGGAAAACAGAATCATGGGACTCAGTTATTAATTCAACTGTCATTTTCTTAATTGGGTGATCTTCTAGTAAAGAAACATTATAAATCTCAATTTACTCTATTCAATCTGCCGCTGGATCTGACCCAGTCTTCTTTTCTAACACTTTAGTCTTCCCTATCAGTTTTTCAACCTCCAATATAAAATCATTTACATAAAGGAACTAAATCCACTAACCTTCACGTTAAGATGTCTGTCTTTTTTCACCTTCAAACTTTCCCTTTCTCCCCTTGAGCTCGAAACCCAGATGGAGGACGGACAGAAACCAATTCGTGTAGGTCTTCGTGAAGAAAGGAGAAAGGCCTTTTTGACATCGAGCTAATGCAGTGTCCAAGATCTACAACTGACAGAATGACTCGTATAAATTTTTTTTGAGTTTGGCCCCCCAGAGAAAACATCTCAAGATAATCATGCTATAGGTTTGTCTGATACCTTTTGCCACAAGAGGAACCCTCTCGATAGAGCCATCAGCTTTGTTTTTCGGGTATATGCCCACAGCCAACCGTACGTTTACTCGATCGAAGGCAATATAAGTGCCAATTTGGGAATTTGATTCAATAAAAGTACCTGCGAGCTGGTCTGCAATGGTAATCATTGAGCAAGTAGCAGCTTCAAGTTAACAGGATCTACGGTGATTTGGGATCATATCAACAAGCTTGAATCAAGGTATCTCAGACTTTTGTATTCACTGTTCATAACAAAACATCTGATCTCATCTTCTTTTTCTACACATACTCTGAAGTTTTTCTTTCTTCAAACCAGAAGAGTTTGGAAGAACTGCGCATGATTTGGCATATGATTGTATGATCCCCAAAGTTCTGTATCTATTGAATGATACTGATTCTGCATCAAAGCCAGTAAGCAGTGGCATATGATAGGAAATGTGTACTCTTCAAAGGGAAATCACATGGCCACCATGAAAACAAACCCAAATATGTCCATGGCTGAACTTATCTTAGCTTCCATCTCAAAAATCATAGATTCCACAGCGTGCACTGAAGAACATGGAGATTTTATTGAGATTGGAAGCTACTTTTATCGAGCATCTATGGCCATTATAGAGCTACAAGCAATAGACCCAATAAGATTTGATGAAATCCTCCAATCTCTAAACAAAAGCATCAATTTTGCAAAGGATCTTCTGGAGAAGTTCTTGACAGGCATTCAACAAGCCTCAGATTCTGAACCCATTAGCATCATAGATCCACTAAAAGAGCTGATAAAACAAATGGGTGAATGCTTGAACAAGGTAGCAACCTATAGTTTTGAAGATCAGAATTATGTGAAAATGGCTATTCTATCACTTTCAGATGAGATGCAGAATATATCCTCTAAAATTGTCACAGCTCAAGCCATAATTAACGAGCAAGAGATGCGAGCTTCTTCGTCGGAGGAACAACCAGAAGTTATTGAAAATGATCTGTACCCCATTGACATGGACTGGGACACAAACAATACACAATCCCCAGTTGAGTCAGAGTTGAGTGAAGCTGTTAAGTATAGAAATGTCACAGAAGTTTCGACAAAACGACCCTCGACAGCTAACTACATAGAGCCTCTTTTTGAGACCTTCATCTGTCCTTTGACGAAAGACATCATGGATGATCCGGTTAGCCTTGAAACGGGAGTGACATACGAAAGAAAAGCAATCGTCGAGTGGTTTGAAGAGTTTGAAGAATCTGAGGAAGTTTTCTGCCCAGTCACAGGGCAAAAGCTTGTGTCCAAAGCTGTTAATTCAAACAGAGCTCTGAAGTCTACAATAGACAAATGGAAGGAACGTAATGAGATAGCAACAATCAAAGTCGCCCGAGCCGCTCTGTCCCTAGCCAGTTCAGATGCAATGGTGCTCGAGGCAATCGAAGACCTGTCAAGCATCAGCAAAGGAAAGCAGTTCAACATAGAACGGATCTTCGATTTTGAGATGTTACCTTTGCTCGTCGAGTGTCTGGAGTACAGAAACAAAGATGTTAGATATGCAGTTCTTGAGTTATTGCATCAAATGGCAGAAATCAATGAAGACAACAAGGTTCAAATTCACTACAACTGTCTTATTATTATATAAAACAAACAAAAGTGCAGAAGTTTGGACACATCATTTACTATTTCTTATTATGCAGAAGATAATCTGTAACCAATTGGACATGTCAAGAATGGTCAATCTCCTATCAAGTGGTCACAGGTCAATCCGGAACACATCTTTGCTTCTGTTGCATGAGCTTTCAAGAACACAGTCATTGACTGATCAAATTGGTTCAGTAACTGGGGGGATTTCGATGCTGATTGTCATGAAGGACGATAGGTCTGATGAATTTGCTTCAGAAAAGGCAGATGAAACCTTGAGAAACTTAGAGACATCTCCAACTAATATCAAGCTCATGGCAGAATATGGACTCATGGAGCCCCTAGTAAGGTATCTTACTGAAGGTAAGTGTAAAATTCTCATGCTCCCAACTTAAAAATCATTAAATGTACATAACAGGTAGCATGGAAATTGGTTGCTAATTCAACGATCAAACTTTGTTAGAATCCATGACCTCCACAATGGTATTATATTGTCCACTTTGAGAATAGGCTCTCATCGCTTTGCTTTTGGTTTTCTCAAAAGGCGTCATACCAGTGGAGATAGTATTCCTTACTTATAAACTCATAATCTTCCTCTTAATTAGCCAACGTGGGACTACTCCTTTCAATAATCCTCAATAATCCTTCCCTCGAACAAAGTACACCATATAGCCTCCCTTGAGGCATAGGGAGCCCTCGAATACTCTCCCCCTTAATCGAGGCTCAACTCCTTCTTTGGAGCTCTCGAACAAAGTACCCCCTTTGTTTGATACTTGAGTCACTTTTGACTACACCTTCGAGGCTACCAACTTCTTTGTTCGACACTTGAGGATTCGATTAACATGGCTAAATTAAGGGCATGACTCTGATACCATGTTAGAAACCACAATCTCCACGATGGTATGATATTGTCCATTTTGAGCATAATCTTTCGTGGCTTTACTTTTGGTTTCCCCAAAAGGCCTCATACCAATGGAGATGGTGTTCCTTACTTATAAACTCGTGATCTTCCTCTTAATTAGCCAATGTGGGACTACTCCTTTCAATAATCCTCAACACACTTCACCTCAGAATTTAATATTGTTTTTGTTGCATTTAAACTCGAAGCAAGTAAATAGGGACGATTTCAAAACAATTACGTCATTTAAATACAGGTAATGAGTGGATGAGAATAGAAATGGCAAGCTATCTTGGGGAGATTGTTATTAGACAAGATTGTATGGCATATGTAGCTGAGAAGGCCTCTCCAGCTCTTGTCGATATGGTGCACGAAGGAGATACACTTGTCCGAAATGCGGCATTTAAAGCTTTATTGCAAATTTCATCTCACAGACCTAATGGTGAAATACTTGCAAAAGCTGGAACTGTACAAGTCATGGCTGAAGAGATTTTCACTCGTACCATCTGTGATGAACTTAATGATCCAAAAACAGAAGCAGCTGAAATTCTGGCAAATATATGCGAGTCCAGTCTCGATCTCGAGACACTTCAAGTTAATGCTCATGGCTCCACTATGAGCTCAGATTATATAGTCTACAACATCATCGACTTGCTCGATATCTCGACCCCAGATGAATTTAGCAAGAGCCTCATTAGAATACTATTATGCTTGACAAAATCTCCAAAAACAATGGACACCATTGTTTTAGGGGTAAAAAGCACTGAAGCTTGTGATACCCTCATAGTGTTCCTCAATAGCCCAGATGAAGAACTTGGAATTGTGGCAATAAAACTGCTTATATCACTGTGCCCTTACATGGGCTTCACAGTAGCAGAAAGACTCTGTGAAACCAGTGATCAAGTGGAGAATCTTATCAGTAGCATTACTTGGACAGACCAAGTCACAGAGAGGCAGGCACTTTCAGCAACATTCTTAGCAAAACTACCTCACCAGAGCCTGACTCTAAACACCCTTCTTGTGAACAAGAACATTGTGTCCAAGATCATGGAAACAATCGATCAAATACCGAGCGGTGGAATGGGAATGAACAGGTATGCAAGTACTTTGCTAGAGGGTTCGGTGGGGATTCTTGTCAGATTCACATCAACACTTCATGATCCACAAATGTTGTTTATAGCAAAATTTCACAATTTTACATCAGTATTTACTAACCTGCTGGCGCAAACATCAAGTGATGAAGTTCAAAAGCTATCCGCCATTGGGTTGGAGAAACTCTCATCAGCATCCATGAGTCTATCAAAGCCCCTAGACACTAAAAGAAAAACGGTCATAAAATTTCTCCACATACCCAAGCTTCTATCGCTAGGTTCATCAAAGAAGGGTCAGTTACGAGTATGCCCAGTTCATAAAGGGGCTTGCTCTTCACAAAACACATTCTGTTTAGTCCATGCAAAGGCAATTGAAAGGCTATTGAGGTGTTTAGACAATGAGAAGGAAGAGGTGGCTGAGGCAGCTCTGTCAGCCATTTGTACGCTTGTGGATGACAAAGTGGATGTGGACAGAAGTGTGAGCCTACTAAACGAATTTGACACAATAAAGCATGTCCTGAATGTGGTGAGAATGCACGAGCAAGAATCTCTATGGCATAAATCCTTCTGGTTGATAGAGAAGTTCTTGCTCAAAGGCGGGGAAGACTCACTTTCCAATATATCACAGGACAGATCATTGCCTGCGATATTGGCGGCTGCTTCACATCAAGGGAGCAGCGAAACAAGGCAGATAGCTGAGAAGATATTGACCCATTTGAATATGGTACCAAATTTCTCTGCTCCTAACTATACTCTATGATTAGTGTATATTGACACTGTACAAATGAAAAGGAAAAAGTAAGTTTACCCAGTTCGTAGCTCCTCGAAATAAGCTGCTGGCTGCGTTTGCGAAGCTGGTTTAACTTCAGACATCACCTACAATATATCATCGTGTGATCAAAAGGGTGTCCTTCGAACAAGAAGGAAATGAATTCATAATAATTTGAGGTAAATTTGTAAGAACGATCGGCATATGCATGCCGAACTAGAACCCAAATAAAAGTGAGAAGGCTGACCTTTTCTCTTCAGCTTCATCTTGCTTGCAGCATGTCTGGATATATTAATCAAGGCGAAGATCATAATTTTAAAAGGAAAAACTTTGTTTATTTTAAAAATCAGATCTAACGATAATCCCTAAGAAACATGAACTTTAGATTGTGTTTTACACCACTTGAACATTTCAATACTGGTCGGATCATAAACACACCTTAACAGTATGATAGATATGTGTTAGACTCGAGCTATACTAAGTCAATGGGTTCAATATTTGTCAAATATGTCTTGAAGCAAAATACATTAAATACACTTTTTTGAAGCATATAAATGCATAAACGTAGAGGGAAAAGTCCTACCATTTTTAGCCGGTTGTGAGTGAGGAGGGATTCGAACCCCCGACACCATGATTCGTAGCCACGTATTCTAATCCTCTGAATTACAGGCTCTACTCCATCTCCACTGGATCGGTTCCCGAGGTACTACCCTAAAAAAATGAACCTTTCCTCTGCCCAACTATTTGTCCTGAATTTCATTATAGACCTGTATTAAAAATATTATATATTTTAATACATGTTTCATTTTTATTTTTATGACCCCACTTCTAAATTTTTTAAGAAATAATGTGTTACTATGTTTGTGGTCGTATTTGTGTTTTGAATCCATACCCGTTCTTGCTAGAATAATCACCAAAAAAAATACTTAAAATTTAAAAATAGTCATCTTATGCTTGTAATGAATATTAAACAAACAAAACATTTGGATGTCACCTTGCTTGACCAAAGCCTGAAAACCTGCATTTTCAACTTCATCTGTACCAGATAATAACATAACAGAGCAGGCGTAAGGCCGGCAATTGCGACTCATTGCAACCACCACCTCTTTCTTTGTATTAATTTCTAGTAATCTCTGTCGTGTTCTTTGTAAAAGTGCTTCGGTTTGGCCGTAGCAGTTGGAAAGGCTTCCATCCTTTCCATCTAATCTCTAATGATTTTCCCATCATCGTCTCTTTTAGAGGTGCCTGCTGACTCGTTCTCATTTCGCTAGGGATATGTTTTTTCTTGATATTCAAGATTTGACAGTCCTTTTCATCATTCATTTTGACAATATTTGTAGAGCATTTCTTAAGCAAATGAATATGACAGCATCAAGAACAGTTCTGAAAAAAACCCTTTGATATTGACGAAATCAAATGCATCACACTATTTTGTTCCTTGTCTCTAGATAAGACATGGTGGTGAAAAAGAAAACCCACCAAAAGTTGAACTGTTCAAAGTTGAATAACTCTCAAAATTGATGTTTTCTCGATATCCAGGTGAGTTCCTTGTTCACATTATGAACTCTCCTCTATATAAAGTCAAATTCCCATGTGGATCTTGTTGTTTACAAAGGCCAAACAGTCTACTAGGATAAGTTTGTAAGACTATAACAATATTTATAGTCCTGGGAGTGTCTAGCAGCAGGAATCATTAATCTTCCTCTTAAGAAAATGGCTTCTTTCTCTGTGGAGGATTTTGTGGGGAATGGGGTTCTCAAGGATCTGCTTCCGACTTTGCTGGAAGAAGGCTGGGATGATGTACCAACCTTGAAGGTTATGAATTCTGAGGATATGGATGCAATAAAGATGACACAACAACAGAAGGTTGGTAATCAGTACTTTTTCTTGTTCTAATACAGAAACACACTCCAACAATATGAGCAATTTCAGATGTCTATGTCTGTCTTGATTTCTGTAAGTAGAAACATGCATATATTTCATTTAAGTAATGAATTTGCATAGCTTATCAAAAGCCTTTTGAACAATTCATAGGCCCTTCATTTTGTTATGACAGGAAGCAGTGGAGATCAGAACGTACCTGCATGACAGATCTCTGATGCAGTACGGGGACAGGCTAGAGTCCTCAGGGAAGTGTTTGCCAGAACTTCTAAGCTTGAGCGTTGAAGATTTAACAGCTCAATTCCATATGAAGAGAGGCCACATAGCACGTTTCAAGGACAGAAACAGTTCATGTGCGGATCCCTTGATCAAAAAGTCTGATGCACCTTCTCCATCTACCAGCATCAAAAGGACTTATCAGTCTAACAGCTCAAAGCGGATGCAGAGTATGAGAAGCCGAACATTTCAGGACAAAAAAATTGAGGAAGCTCTGAGCGATTTCAAGATTGAAGAAGGATATGTATTCAAGGGGATTGTTGCAGCAGAACCAGCCGGCCATAGGGCCTGCGCTTGTGTGCAACCTCCTCCTATTGTTGACAAAGTTGCTCCTTATTCTGCCATTGAAAACATATCCATTCAGAAATTAACTCCCGAGTATAAGATTGGAATGGAGCGTTTGGTGAAAACTAAGACTCCCCCAATGAAAGCTTCAGCACTATGGCAGAATAAGCCTGCAATAATCCTCTGTATTAGACGTCCTGGGTAAGTTTAAACATGTTTTTTCTAGACCTGGCTTTAAATTGCAGACCACTAACTTTTGACACAAACTTAAAAGGCACAAACGAAAAGAGACTCCCTAGCTCCTGTAGATGTGTTTCATGTCACTTTTCTATATTGTTAATGGGGTTTGAGCCATCTAGAGGGAAAGTGATACTTAAATCTCTGAGTTTGAAAACAGGTGTATCATGTGCAGAGCAGAAGCTCACCAGCTATATACCAGAAAACCGGTATTTGATGCACTGGGATTTCAACTATTTGCTGTAATTCACGAACACATAGAATCAGAGGTATTCATAAAACTTTAAGCTCCTTCTACCCACCAATCTGTTTGGCTGAAATTTTGGTGATGCAGGTGAAGGACTTCTGGCCCAGGTACTGGGGAGGCACTGTAATCTTTGACCATGGTAGAGGATTCTTCAAAGCCCTAGGTGGTGGCAAATTAATGAAGGACAAATTCCTATCTGGATTTCTTTTCAACCCTCGAGCCATAGCAAATTATAAGCGTGCAAAAGCTATGGGAGTGAAGCAAAACTTCAACGGAGAAGGAGAAATTAAGGGTGGTCTGTTCATTCTTGGCACAGCGAAGAGTGGTATTGCTTACCAGTTTATTGAGCGGAACTTTGGGGACTGGGCACCTCTTTCTGAAGTAATTAACATCTGTACAAAATTACAGGTAACTCTTGCTGCTGTCTCTAACCTTCTCCAGTATTAAGATCGTATTGTAATCACCTATTCTTTCACATGATACAGAGCCAATCACAAGTTCCAGGGTCATCCATCGAAACATCCCAATAAGATAACCGAAGTTTATCCCTAGTGTACTACAAATTCTCATCTGGAGTTTCTATATGGTTCGCAGTTGATACTTTCAACAACATATAAGAAATGTTGCCATCTTTCATCGTTCCTTTTTCTCAGATGTGCTTTAATTAATTTATCTGGCCTGGCTGTGTTGTACAGAAGAGCTTTAGTGATTGCTATGCTTGTTCTTATCATTTGACAACTTCATATGTACCAACTGGGTCTAGTTTGAAACAATTTCTGCTCTGATAATTAACAGGGGAATCAACATACTGCTATGCATTATTCTAAAACCTTCAGTAATGGAGGAACGGATAAAAGCGTCTTTATTGAAGAAAAAAACTTATTGAGTAAAGGAAAGGTACAATACAACAAGACAATAACCCACTAAGAAGCTACGAGTGTCTAAGAAAAAAAAATATCCATTGGGAAGAATATCACAATTCCAAACAATTGCGCATTAATCATATTCGACCTTCAAAAAAGGAAAAATGATGTTTGAGAAAAATATAACTTCATTAAATATTACCTTGAGAACAAGAGTGAAAAGTGAGGGAAGTTGTTTCCTGAACTGTTGTAAATAATTTTCTGTGGAGATGCAGCAAAGAATGGCCTGTTCCAAACCCATTTCCTCATCGGAATCAATCCGCAGAAAAGGTGTCAAAACCACTTAAGAAACACAGATCAAATAGTTGTGTCGCCATTCTACTTGCAGCTTGCAGCCGAAATAGAGCACTTGGCCTCCATCATTTAAAGCAACCATCAGATTTTACACAAGTTAGAAGTATCTCCAATATTTATCAGATGAATTCATTTCAATACCACTTCTAGATTACTGAACGGTGTGAAACTCATGGCTCATAACATAAAATATGGCACAACAATTATACACATTCGAGATGGATGGTAGGTCTCACACTCGCATAAAACTGAGTTTGTTACTTGCATAACAATTATGAGGTTTCAACATCTTCGAGTGAGGTTTTAGATCAGAAAAAAAGCTACCAGAAATCCCCACATGAACACACTCCATCCTTGAACAAATGGAAACGGACTGCATCCCTTACAAGTATCTCTCTCTGGGTGATCCTAGAAATGTACTTCGTGGCATTGTGGCAATCCCCACAGACCCTGAGATTTTTTACAACTTGAATTTGAAGGCCATCAGGTATAAATATCAAACCAAAGGCAATAGCAAGTTTTTCACTATGGTGATTAAGCATATTAATCTTCTCCGACTTCTCAACATCATGGAGAACGAAACTCATATTGGGCACATACCCTTCATCAATCATTTTTTGGTACAAACTTTCCAACTTGGCATATATCTGATCTGAAAATGGACTTGACCGGTCATCTGCTGAGAAAATATGCACTTTGTTTTTATATTTGATCCAACTGTATCCTGGTTCCTTTTTTACGCCCTTTTCTCTCATTCCTTTCCTCAATTTTGCTACATCATCCCATTTTCCTTTTGCAGCATAAATGCTTGATAATAAAACATAGCTAGCAGGGTTCTGTGGCTCTAGTTCATAAAGAGACTCAGCAGCCCATTTTCCAATTTCCAAATTCCCATTAAGTCTACAAGAACTCAGCAATGTTGCCCAACCGATAGCATCAGGACTGAAAGGCATCTGATTAATAAAGTTTTTTGCTTCTTCTAATCTCCCAGCTCGGCTAAGAAGATCAATCATGCATGTAAAGTGATCAGGGATTGGCGTAATTCCATGTTCTTTTACCATACATTCAAAATAATGATAACCTTTCTCCACTAAACCTGCTCTACTACAAGCTGATAGAACTCCAATGAAAGTAATTCCATCAGGTACCAAACCATGGGCCAACATTGTTTCGAACAAAGATATTGTTTCATTGGCTTTTCCAAATTGTGCATAACCTGAGATTAAAGCTGTCCAAGAAACTTCATCCCTGATTTTCATTTCATGAAACAACTGGTGGGCATATTTTATGCTTCCACATTTACCATATAGAGTGACAAAAGCATTTGAAACCGTAAGAAAACCAATTAAACCAGTAGCTAAAGCTTGGGCATGAAACTGGGCTCCCTCTTCTAGGCTTGCGAGGTTTGCACATGAGCTAATTACACTTCCTAGAGTAAAATCATCAGGATGAATATCATTTCTCTGCATATCACGAAATATCCTAACGGCTTCTTCACTGTAACCATTTTGGCCATAACCAACCAGCATGGCTGTCCATGATATTACATTCTTGTGCCTCATTTTTCTAAACACTGCTTCCGCATATTTTACATTCCGACACTTGCAATACATATCAACTAGAGCACTTCCTACGAAGATGTTATCTTGATAATCAGTCCTAATAATATAGGCGTGAATTTGCTTACCTTCACCTAGTGCCAGAACACCGCCACAAGCAGTCAACACACTCCCAAAGGTGAACTGATCCATGCCCAAACCTTCTGTTCTCATTTCTCCAAACTTGTGGATTGCTTCTTTGAACAAACCATTTTGGGTTAGCCCAGTTATGATCGTTGTCCATGTAATCGAATCTTTTTCTGGCATATTGTGAAACAATTGATCAGCTTCGATGATAAATCCACACCGCAAAAGACCAGTGATCATAGTATTGTATACAACTGTATTCTTCTCAGGCATCTCTTCAAAAATCCGTTTTGCATCATTGATGCATCCCGTTTTCGAGTACATATCTACCAAAGGACTGCCAACAAACTGATACGATTGATAACCAAATTTAAAAATTTGCCCATGAATCTGCCGACCCAATTCAACAAATCCTCGATTAGACGAGAGTATTAGCATAGTAGAGAATGTAATCCTATTCAAGTTTACCGACCCTTCCTCCAACATCATGTTATAAACTCTAACCGATTCGGAAATAAAATTACTACCCGCATACCCCGAGAGAAGCGAGTTCCAAGAGACCACATCATGCGTCGGCATGCGATTGAAGACCTCTTGCATCTCGTGGAGGTGACCCAATTTTGAGTACGCCGAAAGCAGCGTGTTCCATGAAAAAAGGTTTGGTTGAGGAATTTGATCGAACACATTCCGTGCATTCTTCCAGTTGCCAAGTTTCCCGTAGGTATTGATGAGATTATTAAACAGAAAAGTTTCTGGATTAGGTACAGTTCTGATGATGCGGCAGTGAAGCTTCTTAACATGAGCCTGATTCCGAGCTTCGCAGCAGAACTTAAGCACAGCAGCGTAGTAATTTGATGAACAAGTCATATTCCCTTCTAAAAATCCCCCCAAAAAAGAAAAGAACATGGCGGGAAAGAGCGTTGCGTTTAGATTAACAGTTCTCCAACAATCAAAAGCAAAAGGGTACTAATCCGAAGAAGAATTACCCGAATTCCTTTGGACTGTCGACCATTAGCGCTCCAAACTCATTTTTCTGCTCGCAAGATCCAGCACCAAGCCCAGTCCAAGTCCATTGATCCAATGCGCGCTACTTCGAACGCCCATGTCTCGGACCCAGATTTAATCATTTCTTCAAATAAATAATGCAACCTTTGTTAACCTTCCCGCTAAAAATATATTAACATTTTGAGTTTTTTTTTTTTTTTTAAACAAAATTTATTATTACTATTTTACCACTTTTGATAAAAATTAATTCAAAACCGACCATGAGTAGATTAACTAAATTTAGATATTTGAAATTTCCCTGTCCTAACTCACTTCACAACATCTTTTATATCGTTATCGACTTAAGCATGATAACAAAAATCATTACGAGTGAAAGATTTGAATCTATGACTACGTATAGGTCATAGTTTTGGAAGGTTATACCAAACCAGACCAAATCTAAGACATGACGGTAAATGACATCAGGACACAGAAAGAAGCATGGAAACGACGCCCAAAATCCAAACCCAGAAAAGACTAGGGCATACGGTGGGCATTTGGGAGAGTTGGGCCAATTGGGTGTCTTCATTCAAGCAACGGACCGAACGACTTCCTCCATCCAACATGAAAGCCAAAGATTCTTTTATATCGTTATCGACTTCCTCCATTCACAACATCTTTTATATCGTTATCAACTTAAGCATGATAACAACAATCATCACAAGTGAAAGGTTCGAATCTACGACCACGTACAAGAGATGGTTTTGGAAGGTTACATCGAACCAGAGCAAATTGAAGACATGACAGTAAATGACATCAGGACACAGAAAGAAGCACGGAAACGAAGCACAAAATCCAAACCCATAAAGGATCAGGGCCGACGGTGGGCATTTGACAAAGTCGGGTCAATCGGGTGTCTTCTTCATTCAAGCAACGGACCGAACGACTTCCACCACCCATGCCAAAGATTCTTTCATGCTTGATGCAGAAGAAAGCAGTAATAACAAACTCATCAAGTTCTTTACCAAGATACAGACATTTCATTGATCTCAACGTCAAAACTCAAATCCTTTAACACTAACTAAACAAGTTCCCTCTACAGAATTGTAAAAATTACAGCCAACCCACTTCAGCTCAGACACTATCAGCTGTGTTTATCAGCTGTTCCTCGGTTTCCAGACATCGAATCCTCGGCCTCTAAACATTGACCAAGGCAAGCACTCGCCTAGAATCCGAACCAACAAGAACAGAAACTGCTTCTCTATCAGGTCATTGAGTTCTTGGCGATTGTCGGGACTCGGGAGCTGATGTTCTGCCTCGGTTACCAGCTCGAGTATCACAGCTTCAAGTACGGTAATGGTATATTTCGCACAACCACGAAGTAGAAATAGTTCGTGGCGAAGTATCTCGTATAGTACTAATAGTAATGTACCTGTACATGAAGCAGAAATGGTTCATGGCATTTAAAAAGAACTTTCAGTGTTGTTCAACTTTTGTATTGCCTGGTGAATCAGATCCTGCAAGAACAGACCAATTTATATCTCAGTTCAATGACTTTATGATAGCGTTTTCGATGTCGATATCGTAAGGAGTAGCGTTTATTGTACCTTCAGCTGCTAAACCATTAGGGGCAGTGGACATCCCAAAGCTCATCTGCACAATGTTATGGAGTTCACCATCCCACATGTTCTTTATCTGTAGACACAACTTTTTATACATTTATTGATAAACATGCATAAAATTTTCATTCATTAAGGTAATTAAGGTGCTACCTGAGTCGGCTCCTTATATACCCCGGACCTCGGCGTCATCTGGGAACTTATTGTGCTTCTTCTTAACGTCTCGGAGCTCGCTATGGCAGGGAAACTGACTGGGATAAGTCCACGATGAGAGACATGAGGCGGGGGACAAGCAATGGGCATGCGTGAAGGAAATCCCAATGTCGACGAGGGACCAGCTCGAGATTGAAGAATCTAAGAGAAAATTATGTGTTAGAGCCAGAACATTCGTGATTTGATTTCCTTACGAACTCGAACTCGCACTTACATCTTTCTCTAGAAGTTCATCGATGTTAATATCCAACCTTGGATTGACGGTAGCGAGTTTCATTGATAAAAACTGCAAATGTCATGGATGTTTAAACAAAGATTTCGAGATTAGAAGTATAACAGCTCAAGCCTACTACTAACAGATATTGTCCGCTTTGACTCGTTACGTATCGCCGTCAGCCTCATGGTTTTAAAACACGCCTATTAGGGAAAGGTTTCCCCACCCTTATAAGGTATGCTTCGTTCCCCTCTCCAACCGATGTGGGATCTTACAATCCACCTTCTTTGAGGGCCTAGCGTCCTCGCTGGCACACCGCTCGGTGATTGGCTCTGATACTGTTTGTAACAGCCCAAGCCCACCGTTAACAGATATTATCCGTTTTGACTCGCTACGTATCGCCGTCAGCCTCACTGTTTTAAAACGCGTCTATTAGAGAAAGGTTTCCACACCCTTATAAGGTATGCTTCATTCCCTTCTCCAACCGATGTGGGATTTTACAATCCACCCTCTTTGAGGGCCCAGCATCCTCGCTGGCACACCGCTCGGTGACTGGCTCTGATACTATTTGTAACAGCCCAAGTCCACCGCTAGTAGATATTGTCCGTTTTGACCCGCTATGTATCGCCGTCAGCCTCACGGTTTTAAAACGCGTCTATTAGGGAGAGGTTTCCACACCCTTATAAAGTATACTTCGTTCCCCTCTCCAACCGATATGAGATCTTACAATCTACCCTCTTTGAGGGCCCAGCGTCCTCGCTGACTGGCTCTGATACCATTTATAACAGCCCAAGCCCACCGCAAACAAATATTGTCCGTTTTGACCTGCTACGTATCGCGTCAGCCTCACGGTTTTAAAACATGTCTGTTAGGGAGAGGTTTCCACACTCTTATAAGGTATGCTTCATTCCACTCTCCAACCGACATGGGATCTCAGAAGAAGTATATGTTACCAACTTCCTCAAGGTTCAGAGAAATCTCATATAGACCAACAGAAAAGATATCTATCTCAAGAATATACTAAAGCTGTGAAGCATATAAACGGATTTTCGTACCTCGACTTGTCGTTGCAGAGACTGAACATAGTTAATGATTTCATCGAGCATCACTGCCTTCCCAGTCACCTGAAAAAGAGTCGTGTGAACATTGATATCGATGTGATTCGACTGTCTAACGTACAAATTTAACCATCAAACCTTGCTGCAACCAGGCACTAGTTCTTGAAGAAATTTCATCCTCTCACTGATTTTCTCCCTCCTTACCTGTATTAGAACTCAAAGTCAGCATAGAAAAGTTACTCTAATATGCTTTGGAAGATTAAATGCAATATACATTACCCTTTCTGCAAGACTATGGCTGTTTGTCGCCTGGCCTCTTCGAGCTCGAACATGAATATACTCTTCCTTTGGTGGATCTAAAGGTTGAGACGCCTGTTTACCGTGCTTTACTGTACCCTTGTTTGCGGTCGAGCTCGGGTTTTGATCTCCCTTTAGCTGAGATTCAGTATTATCCTGAGCTGCAACACTAGTTTGTTGCAGAGGTCCATTGACTTGATCAAGTTCAGCCTTCTACTCAAAATAAAGGACAGCAAAGATTCAAAACTAACGAGCTAATTATCGATAAACTCTCCTCACCCAACACGAGCGGGCGAAAAAGAACAAGAACCATTAATTAGTACCTGTCCACTCCTTTTCCTTTTCTTTGCAGCGATGCCCTTAGCAGAAACTTCCTTACCTGCAACCTCTAACGTGCATGGCTCACCCGAACCATCGCCACCGCTAAGCTCAGATTCATTAGCAGAACCATCAACAGCATGTTTACAACAATCGTCCAATTTCAAAAGGCTTCCATGTGCTGCATTATGCAAAGAAACAGGCTTGGAAGCTTCACTGTTAACCGTATTTCCCTGGAATCGTCCTCCGGCTCGAGATACCGAACCTAACCCGTTTCGTCTAGGAACATCCTCCTGTCTCTCAGGCATTACTACTCCCATACCTCTAGAAAAAACGTCCATAGGCTCAGGAATATCAAAATGTCCAGTAACATCACCAAAATTTCCACCACTAAACCAGGAGAACCTGGCTGCACGCTCAATAAACGAAGAATCAGCTGGAAGTTGAGATAAGCTCGGCGGGATTGCATTAAGGTAACCTCCCCCTTTCAACATATTATTGGACAAGCTCCAGCTGATATCAAGTGTTTTGTCATTGTCACTGCTCAAAGGAATAGGACAGCCAATGGTCTTGTTAATTGCTATGTCGTTTGAAGTTCTACATATGTTATGTTCTTCGAGGAGTCCCAAGTTTTGAGAATTAGCTGCTTGTTCCCAAATGGTAGAGCTAAATGACTCAACCACATGAGCAGTGGAAGAAGAACAACCAGCCATATCCAAAGACATACAATCCTGTGGGCTACTTTCTACTCTAAATTGATCTCCGCCGCCAATATCCATTAGATGTATAAGCCACTCAACCTTTACAATTGCTACTCACTCCAAGCAGAATCTATGGGGTTTTCACAAGAAATAGCCTTAAACAAACGCACCCAATTCAAGAAATTAGATGCGGTGGTGGAAGAATGTGAAGCTTGAAACTGAAAGAACGAAACAAACCCAGAAGGGAGCATAAAAATGAAGCAACGAAGACATTATTTATGAAGCTACCATTTCCCAAGCCCCCAAAAGGCATGAGAAGCTAAAAACGACAGTTCAAAGAGAAGCAGAAGGGCAGTCAACTGATAAAAACAAAGAAGAGAGCATTGATTTCAGCACAATAAATAGACGTTCAAAGCCCTAAGTCAGTGAGTGAGCAGAAGAAGCAAAGGAAAACGGCACCAAAAGGAGCAAAAGAAAGATACCCATTTCAGATAATGTACCATTTTCAGTACTTCATAGCTCATTCAAACTGTTCTTCAAATAAACTCCATTGAATTTCGCCTTCATGTTCGAACCCCCTTTTCAGTTTTCAGCTCAGAGCCTCTCAGCCCCTGCTTCTGTCGCGCCTCACAGAGACGCTCACACAGAAAAGGAAGATTTTATAGCAACAGAGAGAGAGGGAGTGTAAATATATTCAAAGAAATGGGTGAAAGGGAAGCCACAATGGTAAAGCTTTGTGCATTTATAACAAGACTTGCATGAAAATGAGCGCTCTTGATCATTAAACCACGGCTGCTGCTGCTGCTGCTGCTGCTGCTGCAGCTGCGCACCAAAACCATTATATGAATAAAATAATATTGTTTTTTCTCATGTTTTGAATCTGAATTCATCTCAAATTTTCACCTCCCTTTATCAAAAAAGTTATAAATCTCTTAACTTTCAGCCTCCAACTTTCATTGAATCACAAACCCTTTTGCTATCCTATCATAAAAAGACACCCAAGGGTTAAATATTTTGTTATCTATATTATCACTTTACTGACATAACCTAAATGTGTGAAGCTCAACGAGAATCCAATAATTAAAGATTGAAACTTTAAGCATTCCAATGCTAAAATCACAAATGGGTCATCAAAAACATCTCCCTACGGTTCAAATCATAAACGAGATCTCACAAAAATGCATTCTTTATACGAGTATATGCATTTTAAAAGCCTTAAGAAAAAACTCAAAAGGAAAAATTCAAATAAGACAATATCTACTCTCAATGAGCTTAAGCTGTTACAAATGTTATCAGAACTAGACACCAAGCAATATGTCAGCGAGAAAATTGAGTTCCGAAGGAGGGTGGTCACCAGGCGGTGTGCCAGACGTTGGGCCCAAGATGGAAATTGATTGTTTGAGTTTGGTTGAAACTGTAGCTGAAGAGACTGGCTAGCTAAGCAGTAGCAGTAGCAGCAGGCTAGGTAGCAGGCAGCAGACAGTAAATATCATTGAAATGTACCACTCATAATTCATTTCAATAATATAAATTATTGTGGCCATTTATTAACTTACCCCAACCCAAATCCTTGCACATCCATATTTTCATTTCTTTAATTTTAAATTATTTTATTTTAATTTTTCTAATAAATCTTAAAATTAGTTATTTAAAAAAAAAATCAAATTTTTCTCGCTAAAATTTGAAAATATATTTATACGTTGTATAAAAATTTAATTCGTTACTAATATAAAGATTAATTTTAATAAATAAAAATAGAATAATTTTTTAATTGTTAAAATAAGAATAAAATCTTAATAAATAAATAAAAATTACATAAATTTAATTAAAATTTTGGGCCAAAATATTTGAAATTTAATTATACCGACTTATTTGTTGAAAATAAAGGAATTGCATTAAGGATATATCGATATTGTTGGACTTTCTTGGTGATTTAATGAAGCATAAAATAACAGTTGACACGAAAAAATTGGATTCCGCCACGTGGCCACGAGTTTTGCCAGATACTCGTGCATCCTCAACAAATACCAAAAAAAAAAAAATGTTTTATATTTTAAATTATTATAGATTTCATTTCATAATTTTAAAGTGAATATAAAAAATGATAGTCATGTTTATTTATTAATTTTAAGTTAATTAATGTTTAATTAATATTTTAGGATCCAACCGACGTGGGATCTCACAATCCACCTACCTTCAAGGTCTAGTGTCTTTGCTGGCACTCACAATCCGAACGAATTGGCTCTGATACCACTTGTCACAATCGCACTTTTAATGACAGCGGACTTACGATTGTGCGACACTCACTTTCCAATGAGAGGTGAGCTAAGCCAATTCGTTCTTGCATCGCTTACGCCCATGCGACGTATGCTCGAGCCTCTAGCCTGGGTTTTAAGAGAAGGTTTTAGAAAACGAGGGCAGAGAGAGATTTTTTAAAGAGACATTATATACGCAAGTAAGAGAGAAATAACAACGGCTTACAGTATATAACCTTGGATAGGGAGAAGTTGACAACTAGTCGTATCCCCCTATAGTACATTCTGAAGCATTTCATGTCTGACAGGCCTAGACATGATATTTCTAAAACGTCATACTTCCTAGAAATACAAGAGTAAAACACTAGAATATGAAAAGACATAAAGGGTTGGGCTTGTCACGGGCATGCGGCCATGGGCAACACACCTTGTTCCTCTCTCCAATATGGGATCTTACAATCACATGCATGGACTGACGTCACTAATTAGGTTAAGAAAATTAGGGGCATTACACTAAAAAAAATCGAGAATCGTTCACAGGGACTAAACAAAAAGGGAGCTTATTTCTCGAAAGACAAAAGATCAGTATAGCTAAACAGTAGTTAACACGTACCATCGACTAAGATGTTAAAAATTTGAATCTCGTATCTCAAATGACTAAAAAAAGCATTTTCTCGACTTTTGAGATGATTTTTTCCTATTTGACCACGAACTTGACCTAATCATAAATTTGTTATACAATTAATATGATTTTTATATATGTGTACGTCCTCGAAAATAGTACCTCTATAGTTATGCATTATTTGACTATTGATCTATGACATAAATATTATTTAAAGGTAATAGGACGCCTATTATAATTCGAAATGTTATATAAATATGATATTATATAATTTATAAGCTAAGGTTTAATACACAACAATTATTCCTTAATTGTTATTATTCCATTAATAAATATTTTGTCATATAATAAAATTGTTGTAATATTTTTTTTAATTAACTAAAATTCCATTTTTCGTTCATTATTTTTAATATTCAAGTAATTAAGAAAATTGATTGATTGGTTAAAATAAAAATGTGATAAATTAGTTTATATTATTATTAAAAATAATTAAACCATGACACATAATAATATATAATATTTTTAAATTGTAAAAAGAAAAACCTTAAAATTTTCAAAAGGGAGTCAAAGGAGTGGAATGGAAGGAAAAAAGGTAAACAAATCGGACGGTCAGGAAAGCATCAGAGATACGACGCATTGTTAGAGGAGTTGACTCATGAATTGTAAATTGACGTGGAAGAAAGTGCCAGCAGTGCAGTAATCGGCGGTGTGTCTAGATTTATATTATAATAATAATAATAATAAATGGTCTTTATTATTATTTTTCTTATACTTTTCTATTTTTTATTAATTTGATTATTATTTTAATTATAATATTTGTACATTAAAAAAAAAAAAACTAAATTTAAAGGAGGGTTTACATTAATCATATTTTACCGTCCCTCGTGAATCTCTCTGAAGGCATACTTGACATCTTCGGGTAGCTTTTTTTTTTTTTTTTTTTT